CCCTAGACCTTCTGTTTGACAGCCCTGATTTAAATAATTTAACACACATTTTTATCGGCTTACTTTAAAGTGATTTCCTCTTCCTCTGATGATGATTATTACTAATCATTTATTTATTTCATAATATGCATTTCGCTTTGTGCCTTTTTTTTAACTTTAAGTTACTATCCATTTTGGCTTTCTCTATGTATTCTGTATATATGTATGAAAATGTTATTATTTGCATAAATAAAGATGACAAGATCCATTTATACAGACAATCATGTCAAGCGTGCAGATCTACAGACTTAAACATATTGTGTTAGAAATATAGTTTAAGCAAACAAGAAATACAAAAGCGTGATGCAAAGCAGCTGAAAACTTAGTGCTATTGGTCATATAAAAGACAAAGGTCCATCCAGTTAGTGATTTTATGAATATTTCATTTGTTTGTTTAAAGAAAAATGAAACAATCACTGATAATTGGATGTCAACGGATTTGTTGGATTAATGCTCCTGTCCTTGTCATATTTTCATGAGGATGTTTTTTTTTTAAGATTTTACCACACTGAGTGGTAAAAGCTGAAGCTCTAACAATATGTGGAGGGAATGGTTTATTTAGCAAAAGAATAATCTAATCCCTGGGGAGACTGATTAGGGCACTGGGCCTGCCTCTCCAATTATTACATACTGTTTAACTGTTGTGAATTGTGACTTGTTCACTAGACTACAACTACAGGTTAAACAGCAGCCACTCTCTTAAAGTTCAGCAGCTGCATTTCAACCAAAAGACAAAAAAAGAGAGAAAAAGAATAGTCTTACATTTCTCTCTCAGCCACACACACCCCCACAAACACACCCACCCACAATGCATACCCACTTGGCTACCCCTCTGTCTCCTTTTTACGCTTTGGGACGAGCAGATATTGGGGTGTAATTTTTACTTTCTGCCGCTCCCCTCTGCATCACTTATCACCGCTGTCATCTCTGTGTTGAGCTGTGGCAAGCTGTGGCAGTGGTGATTCAGGGCTTTTGGTGCATGTGAGTCTGTGAATGTGTGTGCATGGGGCTGCGTGACTAATGTTGCAGTCTGCTGAGCGTTGCATGCCCTTATCGTGTGCTGCCGAGGCTGCGCATACACACAATCGCTAATGAGAGGACGAGTGCGTGTGTGACGTTCCTGCAGGTCGTTCCAAAGGCCTGAAGGACTTTTGGGAGACCCGATCCTCTTGGGACAATTTATCCATATTTCAAAGGACAGAAAAAATGAACCCAGTCAGCTGACGAGGGAGAACAGACATGATTACTCACATTCGCACACATTTACTGTAAAACTATTACTTTAGTAGTTGCACCAAACTTAAGTTAAAACTGGAGATGATAAAAGCTGCACAAAAATAGAGCAACAGTATTACTACATTCTTGTGTACCATCTTTACAACAGATGGCAGAATTGCATAAATTATATATTCCTAAAAACTTCTCGAAGATGACAAAGATTAGTGCCAGTGTGGCTCTGTTAGGCTTAGAAATGGTTTAGAAATTTTGGAAATTGCACCTGAAATAAACAATCTTTAAGTTGTTCGTACTATTCAGTAACCTAATCAAGCACTCATGGTTTCCAGTGCCCAGAAACCGGGGCTGCTCTGACTTTTATTTTATTTTATATAAAAGCTGCAACATTCAAGAATGTAATGCAACTTATCATCTTACTCATGCCTTTCACCTTGTAAGAAATAAATGAAGAACCAAGAAAATGCTCTAAGTTAACATTGTTTTACCTGTTCAGCTGATATCTGCCCACTTATGTCCACTGTAGAGATCATTTTTTTCTGTATTATCCAGTCTCTTTCTCTAACAGCTGTAAACTGGGACATGAGATGCATTTTGGACAAATTTTGTCTCAAACTTACCATCTTAGCAGATTGTTAGCAATACACTGAGAGTGTAACGATACAAGTCGCCACCCATCAAAGCCGATTTTCAGGCAGAAACCCCGAGCACCTGTTGATGTTGATGTACTGTACAGAACACCATTTCAAGATACAGTCTCTAAAATACCTCTTTCTGCCTCAGTGACAACATAAAACTCCTAAATACGGTGTGTGTAAATCTGTGTAAAACTGTAATGAAAAAGTTAATCAGCAGTTAAACCACAGATTTTAAACTCAGCTCATGTGAAGTGAGAAAGAAATAACCGAACCCCCCCCCCCAAATTATGACACCCAGCTTTTTTGTAAATGAGTAGATGTGAATTTTGAAAAAATTTGAAACAGATGCCCAAAAACTTTAGGTTTCACATAATGTCTCAGTGTTACCAGATTCACCAAGTTCACAGATTTAAAAGGCACAAATGCTTCACGTGTTACATTTTTATAACTAATCATCAAAAGTATTTCATATCCTTTTAACAAATAACTTATCTAGATCTAAAAACGTTTTTAACTTTCATTACATTTTAATTTGTGTGTAGCAATGCTGGTACTGCATCAACACACCAATAACAACAATGCTAACCAAACCCTTCTGAAAGCTGGTTCTGACCAACTGGTTTCATATTTGATACCCCAGAATGATTGCCACAGCAGACCCACTGCACTGATAGTGATGGAGCTCAAATCAGATGTGAATAGAGTATGTAAATACACTTTTGGGTAAAGTGCTATGAGAAGAGTTAGGAATGTACCAAATGATAATTTTACCTCTCTGAGGGTCAAGCGGTAACACGCACGCATACGCACTCCTTTGGCCATAAAGGACTAAGCCTTTTAGGCTTTGAACACAAGAGGGTGTTTATGTGAATCGATGATCAAAGACACCCTGTGTCGCCATAAGCACAGAGGGTTTTGCTTGTACTGACAGCCACACACATACTCACCTTATTCTACTTGACATTCAAAATCAATTAAACAGATGTTCAAACCGGCCGACAGCGTTGTTGACTCAATATTCACATCAGAAGCTATAGAAGTAGCCATAACAACCCCCTGTTCCCAACCTATACGCGCACGCACGCACGCACGCACGCACGCACGCACGCACGCACACACACACACATATGACTATCTGAAAAGGTCACGCTTAATAGAGGGGACTGCTACATGTTATGTAGAGCATTGTGATGTCTGTCTGTGTGTGCATGATTCGTGGAAACAGACTCGAATGGACAGAGGGGGATAAACTATGGTCTTACATGAAGTGGTCTAGGTGACTGATGTCTACAAAGACTCAGCTGGCTGACAAGCGGGGTCAATCGGACCTAATTGATTGGACTAAGTCTTTGATGGTGTGCGGAGAAAGGTGGAAGAGATACACACACACACACACAAACACACACACACACAAACACACAACAACAGAACGAGAGATGAAAGGAAAGAGGTAAAAAAACTAGAGAGTAGGTGCTCTGAGGTCAGCGTACCTCCAGTCCTTCTGCAGGGCTGAGTGGGGAGGTAGAGGAGGAGCCGGTGGGTGACGATGAGGAGGAGGTGGAAGACGGGGATGAAGGAGAAGTGACTCCTCTTGGGATGACCTCCACCAGCTTCTTCAGCTTCAGATCCACATGCTTACTGTTTGTACCTGAAGAGAAAGAAAGGGACAAACTGATAAGCAATAAGAGGGTTATTTCTACAATTTATATCAATGCCACGCTTACACAAAAACCAAAAGAGAAGCGACTTAGTCAGCGCTAACATCCACACACTAAGGCAAACCCACAGATAAGGAATATATACACAACAAACATATGTGAGAATACAACATATACAGTATACACAAACACGTGGAAAGAGTAGGAAGTCTTACATCCTGTTTGCATTATCGCCCAGGTTCTGAGTGTACATGTAGTCTAATCCTACCCCTTATGCTCACAGATAAATGAAGGTGATTTTGATCTTCAAAAATAAAAAATATGGAGCTGAAGAACCAGTTTAACATGTGCTTAACATGTTAAAATGCATTTGCACTAATTTTCTCCTAGAATATTTCTCAATCTAATAATCTCGTTCCCATTCTGTCTCTCAATCTGACTTCTTTCCTACTTTTACCTCCACCCATTCTTAATTTGTTTTTTAACCTTTTCCTTCCCTCCCTCTCTGTCTCTGCTTGCCAGTAGCTGCAAACAGCTTTATTTTCCAGGGACTGGTAACCACAGCTCCCCTGCCAGGCCAGAGCACTGCACTGAAGAAGATGAAAGAACAGGAGGGCGACCGTTTCATGTGTCACCTCCCCCCGTGACACACACACACACACACACACACACACACACACACACACACACACACACACACACACACACACACACACACACACAAGTGTGAGGATGCATGTATACAGATGCCAAGCACAGGCACATGCTTTTGAATGCAAACGTACAAATACACCACATATACACAATGGAGCAGGTAGGCTGAATAACCTTGACTTCCCATTTTCAGTGGAAATATTAACACAATAAACAGTGGTATCAGCCACTTAGTGTTACAATCACCACAATCAATTGCTTTCAAGACTACATAAAAATTACTACCAGCAAAAAAACAAACAAAAACAAACCCTACACACAACTGTGAAACAAAAATAGTGCAGAGATACTGAACTTCAAAGCTTGAGGACGCATTTGTCTGTTTTTTATTAATGTCTGTTTCTTCTGGTCCCCTCACTTTACTCTCACCTATCTCACATCGACAGGAAATTAAAGAGGCAAATAAAGTAAATGAAATACAAACAAAGTAATTAGTTTACCTCTGAAGATTTGAGCAAATGCTTTACTGAAGATATTTTTTGTTTTTTTTATGTCTAGGGAGCAGTTTTCAGAGTTTTTAATTACTTTTTTTTTCAAATTATAAAAGAAAACATAAAAACAGCCCAACAGTTTTACACCGACAGTATGGCAGCTTCAAACTACTAAGTTAGAGTGCATGAAGAGTAGTTTGTGGAAATGAACTGAAAAGATGAAAAGCTTGGGCTCAGGTGAGTGACTAAACGAAAAAACAAGTAAATGAGAAGCCTGGTAATAATTAAACCTGCATAGCTCAACCAGCGTATTGGTTATAAATGTTACAACTAGTGCATAAACCAGTGGTTAGGTTTATGCACTAAAGTCTTCTGGGTTAGGTTTGGGCAGTAAATTCTTCTCAGCTATGTTTGGGACCTAAAATCATGTTGGAGAGCTACAGGCACAAAATCTAATGGATAAATTTACAAAAAGATGGATAACAAGTTCTCACTATCTGGTAAATCAAAAATGAAGTATCTTTGGAAATGCATTATCTGTTAGATATTAGGTTAAAATGGTAATTAATTGAAGACAGTGTAATTCAATGTAACTTGAGTGAACGATTGGAAAAGAGGATTTAGGTACTAAAAGGGATGTTAAAGAATGTCCAGGCAGGTCATGAATTAGTTAGAAAAATAAAAGAAGACAGCGAGTCATGCAAAACTGCACAGCGTCAGCCAGTTATTTTACCCAAAAAGGTTAGCTCAGAGCTGGGGTTAGTAAGCTCCAGGGGGCCCTGAGTGCTGGAAGTAGTTGGAAGAGCCTCCAGTGGCAGCAGGTTAGTAGGCAGTGCAGATGCAGATGTGGCAGCGGAATCAACAGCATGATCATCACCACCGAAGTGGAACTGCTCCTCCTCAGCCCTCACATCTCCCTCATCCTCACCCCTTACACCAGTAACACCAACATCCTCATGATGACTTCTGACTCCGTCCAAAACATCTGTAGGTATGGAGTTGGACAGTAGAAAGGAGGCAAAAAATGAAGTAAGGAGCAGAATGAGCAGGAAGGAAGAAAAAGGAGATGGTGATGATGTAAAGAAAAAAAGGGCAACGATGAAGTTTAGAAAATAGAAAGTTGTTAAGAGAACACAATATAGAATAAAGGAGGAGTACAGAGAGAGACATTTGGTTAGTTTGTGATAATATTAGTCTGTGATAAGAATAAGTGTTAGGATCCTGTTGTTAACCCTCTCCATCCACATTGTGCTCTCAAAACAACAGTAAATATATTATGATAGCCTTTGTTTGCAGAAAACTCATGGAAAGTTTTAGGGCTCTGTGCACATTTTCTTTCTATCTACACAGATACACTAGTTAATATGTTTATTTATTGGCATGAAAATGCAGCAAACTCCAAAAGAGAGACAAGAAAGGTCTCTGAGTACATCGATCTGTGTGGGCTTAGTGCCTGCTCGCAAAAATATCTGACACACAAAGTGAAAATGAGACCCCAGTTTAATTTCCACCAATTCAAGGATCTGTTACCTGCCTTTCTTTTTCCAGATAAAAGACGAGGGGGGAACAAAAACCACAAAAACATGAGTGTATATTCTATTAAATTTGCACAGGGGCTCAATAGAAACAACAGTGTCTCCACATTAGGAACAAAACAAGAAAAGCACGTTAGAAGAAACTCAAATGGAACTGCATGGATAACCCACCATGGATTAAAACAATATAATCAGTACACAGTGTTGCAAGCTCCCTCCTCCGTTATTTACTACTTGGTGGGGGAGAGACCAAGAACAAAGAAAGAAGAGGAGGGAGTCAACATAACAGCATTTTGTGTGTGTGTGTTTTTTTTCCTTTTTCTAATTTGCTAGCTGCGATGTGGAGCGTGCTAGCAAGCGCCCTTCCTGCGTGGCTGGCTGAGGCCTAATTAATGGGAGGCCATGGTGATGGAGTTTGGAAAGTTTCTTTGCGGGCAGCCCGAGCTGCACTTAAAGGACTGTCAATGGCGCTGAAGGAGGAGAGGGAGAGAGAAGGAAGAGAGAGAGGGGCTAGGATTAGCCGTTCTGCTCGGCAGGCCTTGTGTATCACAGCCCACAGCATTTCTCTCTTCTCCTCGCCGCCACCGCCTCCTCCTCCTGTTCCCTTGTTCCGTTCTTTCCTCCAACTCCATTTTTAATGAGATCAACAATTAGTCCAATTCAGAAAAGCTGAAAGAGCAAATAAATCAAGTGCTACCCGCCCTCTGCCTCACTGTCCGTCTCCTCTTCTTCTGCCCAACATGTCGCTGAATGTTTACTCCTCGTTAAGGGATTATTTGTTTTTGATTTCTTCTTTTCTGAGCATAAAAGAAGTGCATCGCCATTTTCAGTCTTTTAGGTATTTTCTCTGACCTATCTTTTGTTGTCTAATCATCTCAAGAACATCAGTGCTTAGCCGATAAACCACTGACTGTTAACTATTTTGATAAACCTTTTAATTCATCAGAAAAGCCCAATATTCTCTACTTTTCTTTTGCTTTTAATCAGTCAAACACTTTGTCTTTCTTTGTCCTCTTCACAACTACACAAGTTAGTTTAACTGCCTTTTCCACTTCTCACTTTTTGTCCTCAGCTGTCTCCTCTTTCCCTTTTCTGATCCACCTGAAGAGAATAACCAGAAAGAGGGGTGTAATGTTGAGGAATCATAAACAAATGACTCTGGAGGCCTGATAATGGTCATTACGATAATAACCCCAATTTCAAGGAAATGGAAAGCAGTGGGAAATGCACACGGGCAGCATTTGCTACCTCTGCAAGCTGTTATTAGAAGTGTCTGGTGTTTTGAGCATAATTTGGCCACACAATGCGTTGTGTTGATTAACAATTACTGGGTGAACGAGACGAGGGAGGACTTGCAGGGCAAACTGCTTGTTTGAATATAAGGGTGGTGCTTTTTAGACCCGCGGCTGTTGTCAAATGACATTTTGTTTTTCTCTGAGGATTAAGTAGAACCCCTTTAGAGAGCATAATGGAAATGTGTGTGTCTTAGCATGTGTGGATGAAGAAAGTGAGTGCATGTCGAAAGCATGCTACTGTGACATTTCTTTTGTATTACAGCCCATGAGCATTAGTGAATGTTAGTTAATTACAAATGCTTTTAACAAAACTCTGAAAGTGTGCTAATGTGGATAAATAAAGTGCGAATGGAAATGATGTCTCTATCAAGACTTCATGTTTGTTGCTGCTGTGTGAGCTGACCTCCAGCAGTGCCCGCCTTGCCACCTTTACCACTGCTTGATGGATCCAGCAGGCTCATGTCGGACATCTTGACTCCGGATCGAGCCTCGGCTATCAGCTGCCTGGCTCGTTCTCTCAGCTGTCTTCGCCGCTCAGCATCCCGCTCCTGCACACATGAGTAAAAAAACTCTCAGGGACTTTTGGACAGATACATATTCAAAAAGAAAAAAAAAAATCACGCATTTATTTCCACATCATTGCATCATTTTAAGAAGGTATTGATGTTATAACTGTTATTTAGATATATATGACTGCTTTGCTTAATGGTCTATCATTGTTTTAGGGCTTTATAAGCCCGCTGAATTAAAGCATGCCATATGCACACTGTATATATAGTAACTACTTCTCCATCCTTTATTTAATTGGTAACTTACTCCAAAATCTTTGCACTCTGTACCTGAACATGCTATACATGTTGTTACTGTATGTTGATATGGTGATGTCAGTATTGTCTGTCGTCTACTCTGTTACATACACTGAGAGTAAAGAAATAACTGTAGCCCAATTCCTTTTATGTGTATACAAATGTGGCTAATAAAAATGATTCTGATATTATTGTATCGCTCTTTGGCCTAGAGACAAGTCAGCAATCATCTGGCAAACACCAGTCAGAGGGAAAAATAAGTATGCCCCAACTGGTTCCAAATGGTGGCGGGAAGTCCCCATTCACGCAGGCGACCAGTAGACTAGAGACCAGTCAGTGTACCCCCGGTAACCAATGGTTGCTAGAGAAAAGTATATATTCTGCAGTCCGCTAGCAACCAAATCAATCGCAAGGATGTTTTAGGTGCAGCACCATCTTTGCAGCCATTTTCACCCTGTGACAATGAAACTGAGAATATATATTTTTCCCTAGCAACCAGAAGTTGCCAGAAGGTCACCGACTGGTCTATACTTATGTGCGACTGCTCAGCCTCAATGACCCTAACTAGCTAGTATTACCCAGCAATGATGGTGTAACCTTATAAATGCGCAATTATTAGTGTAATAAACTGCCTATGCTTAAGAAATCACTGCGTTCAGTGATGTTTTCCTACTTGTAAATTTCCTACTTGTTGTTCTTACTCCTTGCTGACTAAAGCACTCATGATGGTACTTGAGCGCATCTGAAAAATCATCATGCATGAAACTATGATCTGTACACACCTGGTACTTCACCAAGCCCTAAAACGTAAACAAAACAAGTCTTAAAAATAATAAAAAAGTTTTGTTATGAAAAGCATGTACACCTTTCACTGCGTTATGGAGCTAGCAGCACAGAGATAGGCACACGCACCATCTTGGCTCTAGACAGATACAGTATTGAGCTGTCACCATCACAGCAATGGCAGAAATGCCATTTTCAGGTCGATCCAATCTGATCCCCCTGATAACACACACACACACACACACACACACACGAAAACCTTGATGATGTCAATTGGCAAGCACTTAACAGATGATGACCCCACCAAGCAGCACCCTCACTGGGCAGGCCATCACTACATACAGTAACCAGGCAGTAGTAAACAAACATCCTAGACAGGTAATTTAAAATGACAGGAATGTCAGCGGGTGATTTCCAGAAAAATAGGGGACCAAAAGTAGATCAAAATACCAGAAAAACACAAGAGTGA